TATGGGTGACGCGGGCCCCACGGAAGCATGCCCGTCACCCAAGTACGGGTGACGCGGTGCCAAGCTAAAACTACCGTAGAATCGGTCCATCCATAAATGCGAGAGCTTTGAGACTTTAAGCAGGTCAAGGTTCAATCGAGTAGTCGCGTCAACAATACAACCGCATTCAATTCCAAACGCAGTACTTATAATTTTTAATGGAGCTACTTTACTTTTAGCCGTTAGCAATGTAACTTGCGCGTTGGAAAGAGAATGATGGACTCGTAAATAAACAACGACAGCATAGGCTCGATGTGACGTGTAATTCTATTGCGACATTATTGCTTCGAGCACCGGTCCAGCGCGGTATTCTCACTTCCTTTAGTTTCGACAAACTTTCGTAATAATCGTACCATTTTCTAGAAAGCTCGATAGGAATTTCTTCGTCCTAATCTTTCTGTAGGAGCCAGAGCTCTTGAAGCATTAATTTTGCCGTAATAATCACTGGGGAGGCCCATCTCAGTGGATCGAATATTTTGGAAACTGTTGAGAGTATACTTCTTTTGGTGCATTTCGTTGGTAGGCTAAAATCAATGTGAAAGCGGAATGTATCTTCGGCAGGGACCCACGTTACGCCAAAAACTTTTAGACACTCGTCCTCATCGAGTGAGCGATTGGAAGCTAATTTAAGCCCCTCAGCCGGAATATCTGCTAATAATTCGGCCGCGTTAGCAGCCCATTTGCGAAGTTGAAAACCCCCCCGACTCATGAGTTCGATTAATTGCTTACAAATATCGCGAAGAGTATGAATATCGTCTGCACCAAAAATAGCATCATCAACATAAATGAATTCTTGCAGAACAGAAGTAGTGGCGGGAAGATGAACACCTTTGTCTAGAACTAACTGATTCAAAACCTTAATGGCAAGATATGGCGCTGAGGCGAGGCCATATGTAACTGTTAGCAATTGGTACGAAAGAATAGGCTGGTCTCTATACGGCCGCCATAATATCCTCTAATAGTCGGCATCTGCTGGATTGATTAAAATTTGTGTGAACATCTTTGCGATGTCAGTAGTGTATACATAACGAAACAATCGACAACGCAATATAATAGCCGCTAAGTCTAGCTGCAGTTTTGGGCCTATCATGAGGTAGTCATTTAGCGACTTTCCTGAGTTAGTTTTAGCTGACGCATTGAATACGACTTTAAGCTTTTAGTCGTGCTACTAGGTGGTCGCATGACGGGATGGTGCGGAATGTATACCGGCGATATGTTTGAATCTTGTTGTTCTTCAATTGGCTCCATGTGACCCATGGAAAAATATTCCGATAAGAATTCGTGATACTGATGCTCAAGATCAGGCTGTTTGAACAGCCGCTGCTCTAAAAAAGAAATGCTCATACTCTTCGTCGACTTCGGAAAGCGGGAGTTTTAAGGGAACTTCTTCGACGTCCCAAAAACTTCGCAACGAATGATCTAACTCTTCAATAGATACGCAAATAACAATAGATGCGGATTCCTGATAGGAATCACAGGGTCCAATAGGACAAAAAATGATCCATCTGACCTTGACGAAGGTCATTTAGCAATAACGATTCGTATAAGTCAGCATCAATTAAAACGTGAATCGGGTGGCTGCTTGATGGATTCGGATCGGCAAACGGCAAATAGCGTAAATGCGGCCAAGACTGTAAGTCAAGCCGCATTCGTTAACCGGTGTAAGAGGTGATGCGCTGATAAACGTGCCCTGACAGCGGGAACGATACCTTAGAATTATGGCAAGATTCTAACCGAACGGATACACATGATTTTGCGACTCCGCTATATTGTTCCCCAAAGCATTGAATGTCAAGTCTCGCTCGATATCTTTTGGTACGCATCAACTGACAAACCGATTCGGAGATGAAACTATAAGAAGATCCTTGATCTAGCAGAGCACGGAGTTTGAAGGTACGATCTTCAGCGGTACGAAGTACAACCCACGCGGTGGCTAACAACGTATTAGGAGGGGTGAATTTGGCCGAGGAGACTGTCTGCACTGACGGGCAGGATCCCGCAGTAACTGTGCTTGTATACTAACACATAGCGGCGCATGCACGTATAGGCGATGTGCGAGTGAGAGATCCAATTTCGTACTTTTAAACTAACGTCTCGAAAATTGCATAAATTCACTTTCTGAGGATAACTTTAGCATCGTTAGCTATCCATAATATCGGGCTGCTATCAATTTTACGTCAATAAACATCACATTTTGAATAAAACGAAAAATTCTTCGGACGTACACGTGAGACAGATATAAATTTTGACAGTCAAGATGGCCGCTCCTAGACACGTTGCGCCGTATTTTCGCTTTTACGCAAAATTTAGAGATTTACTCACCGAAAACGATAGCAGCCCGACATTACTGTAATGGTACGATGTCGGGTTGGTCCATATTTTGTCAATTTATCACTTCTGAAAGATGTTAGTTTAAAAATACGATTTTGCACACTGGCGCCTGTCAACGATGTTCCGCCATGCAATTATAGTTTCACGATTATCTACTTGGAGCGCTTGTAGTATTAGTCGCATGTTGTCGCGGTTTTGGCCACATTACCTACAACGTCGATGAAAATACGAAACTGTCGGTAACTGCGTACAATTTTCGGGACAAGGTATGACACTGCGCATTGCATTGCGC